TCAAAAAAAATAATTCAAGAAGGATGATAGAAAAACTGTAAAAGGAAAACAGAGGAAAATATCTTTCTGACTTGAGGGTAGGCAAAAGTTCCTTAGACTAGGATTCTATCGATGATCAAACTTTAGACAGGCTCTTCTGAGTTCTTTTTCAACTAGGCCTTGACTTCCATGTTCCTGGCTGCATTGTCCAATTTTAGCAAGAATCTTGCTCAGTCAGTTTAGCCAGAATCAGAATCCCCCATCCTCCATATCTGATCACCCTCAATATCTAATGGGGTCCCCATCCCCCACCACCCCCCAGGTGATCAGTCTGATCACACTGGTCTGCCTTCAGCAAGAATCCTGTTAGGTTGGTTTTGCCAGAATCCCCCTCCTTGCCCCTGATGTTTCCTCTTAGTAATTTTCCACCCACCAACCCCCACCCTGCTGCTTGGCTATAAATTCCCACTTGCCCATACTGTATTCAGATTTGAGCCCAATCTCCCTCCCCCACTTCAACACCCCATTGCAGTGGTCCCTATACCTATTCCAATAGTCTCCCCTTAAATAAAATTTTCCTTACCGTTGTTCTTCCACAAGTGTCATGAGCAATTTTTTCTTTAACAAGAGGACACAAAAAGCATAAAAATAATATTGACAAATTAGACTTCACCAAAATTTAAAATGTCTGCTTATCAAAAGACTGTTAAGAAAATGAATAGGCAAGCCACGGACTAGGAGAAATTATTTGCAAAATATATATCTGACGAACAACCGGTATCCAGAATATATAAAGAACTCCTACAACGCAAAAGTAAAAAGACTGCGGGCCAGCCTGGTGGTGTAGTGGTCAAGTTCACGTGCTCTGCTTTGGCAGCCCAGGGTTTACAGGTTTGGGTCCCAGGCATGGACTTACGCACCCCTTATCAAGCCATGCTGTGGCAGGCGTCCCACATATAAAGTAGAGGAAGATGGGTACAGATGTTAGCTCAGGGCCTGTCTTCCACAGCAACAAGAGGAGGATTGGCAACAGATGTTAGCTCACAACTAATCTTCCTCACACACACACAAAAAGTAAAAAGACTGTCAACAGCCCAATTAAGAAATGGAGAAAAGATTTGAACAGACATTTCATAAAAGAAGAGATACCAATGGCCAAGAAGCCCGTGAAAAAGTATTCAACGTTATTAGTCATCAGATAAATGCAAATTAAAATCACATTGTGACACCACATACGTATCAGAATGACCAAAATTTAAAAAGCTGACAACACCAGACACCAACTCGCAATCAAATTGGTGGGAACGTAAAATGGTATACCATTTTGGGAAAAGATCTGGCAGTTTGTATAAAACTAAGATATACTAATCTTACAGCCCAGCAACTCCATTCCTAAGATTTTACTCAAGATAAATGAAAAAATACGCTTAAAAAAAAAAAAAAAGAAAACATATGCATACAAAAAGATCTATATAGAAATGTTCATAGCGACTTTATTGATAACAGGCAAAACCAAAAACAGACTGGGACCCACCAACAGGAAAATGATTTTAACAATCTGTGGTTTAGTCATATAATGAACTACTACTCATCAATGAAAAGGAAGGAGTTACTGATACAAGATGGATGAATCTCACAAACATGCTGAATAAAAGCTTTATACAAAAGAGTGTATGTTGTATTACTCCATTTGCATGAAACTCTAGAACAGGTAAAACTAATCTATGGTGGAAAAAAATCACAAGAGTGGTTGTCTCTGGAGTGGGGGTGTAAGAGAGATTAACTGGGAAGGGGAATGAAAGAACTTTATGGGGATGATGTTAATGTTCCATTGCTTGTTGAGGGTTTGGGTTACACAGATGTATGCATCTGTCAAACAGTGAATGTACACTTAAGATTTACGCATTTCATTTTACATAACGTTAACATCAAATGAAAAACAAACACTGTAAACGAATATTGAACTCCAGTTAATGATGTGCACGCTGAAGTATTTAGGAGGAAGTGTACCGTTGTCTGAAACTTGTTTCGAAATGCACTGAATATCAGATGGCTTAATGGATGGAGAGCAACTAGCATACGCCAGAAACAGTGCCAGGCATAAGGGACACAAAGATGAACTAAGGTCTTTGTATTACGGAACTCACAAGGATACAGACAAGTATCTTACAGGCAATTACAATACAGAGTGATAAGTGCTATAATATAATTCTCTTGATTAATCCATAAATCTAACATATCCCTCAATAAAAACACAAATGGGACTGTTTCTGGAACTGGACAAGCTGACTTTAAAGTTCATTTGGAACAATAAAATTATAAGAAGAGCCAGGAAATTCCAGAAAAAGAAGAGTAGCGAGGGAAAAGTAGGCCTACTAGTCATTAAAACAAAACTATAATAATTAGGACAGTTTGGTACCAGCACATGAACAGATGGATTCATGGAGTGGAATAGAGAAGCCAGAAATGAGAATATAGTATATGAGAAAGAAGTATTTCACACCAGCCGGGGAAAAATGAGATTCTCTAAAGGTGTTGAGGTGAATGTATAGCCAACTAGAAATTAAATAAAATAAATTCCAAATGGATCAAAGACTTAAACATAAATATTTAATATAAAATTATAAAGGTGCTTGAAACATGGGATAAATGAACTCTGAATAATGAGGGTGTAAGGAGGCTTTTTTAACTGCACTGCCTTTTGTTTCTTTTAAAACATATTTACAATGTATTACCTATTTAAAAAACGTTTTTGTTAAGAGCGTTTAGCCAGGGAAATAAAAGTTTAGCTCTAGCACAGTGAAGGAGGGGTAGGAAGTCTTATGAGGCTGGAGAGGTAAGAAGGGTCAGGTTATGAAGGGACCAACATGTTAAAAATGTGGGCTTTATATTATGAATAATGGGGAGCTACTAAAAGTTTTGAAGCAGGGGATTGATATAATCAGATCTGCATTTTAGAGAGATCACTCTCAGCTATAAAGGAGCGCATACATCTATAAGGGATAAAACTTTTTTTTTTTTGGTGAGGAAGATTAGCCCTTAGCTACCATCTGTTGCCAATCCTCCTCTTTTTGCTGAGGAAGATTGGCCCTGG